AGTCTCGCTCCAAGGGGCCTTCATGCGTCTACGAGTTCTTCCGACCCCAAGGCACGGCCGTACCTTAGAAGGGTGTGGTGTGGGGGCCCGCCAATACCCCAAACACGCCTTCATTCTTTGGCTTGCTACGCTCGGGAGGCTCCGAACCAAAGATAGAATTGGCTTCCTTGATATTGACCTTACTTGTGCCTTTTGTGGGGAAGCTTCCGAGACAAAGGATCATCTCTTTTTCACTTGCCCCCTTTCGGCCCAAGTGTGGCTTTCCATCCGGCATTGGCTAGGATTGAGGCGACAACTCTCCACTCTAAAGAGTGCATTGAAGTGAATTAAGAAGGAATCCCAAGGCTCCGGTTGGAGAACAAAAGCAACAAAGGTTGGGCTCGCGTCTACGGTATACTTCTTTGGGATTGCTCGAAATAGAAAGATTTTTTAAAATAAGGTGCAAACTCCGGAGCTCATTATTCGGAAGATTCAAACCCATGTCTATAGGAATATATTTGCTTTGTACCGAATGTACTTGTCGACATGGAGAGAAAAGCCCTCGGAAATGACTTGGACTAGCCTCCTTAAATAGAGTGTGGTTTGCCTCTCTTTATTTTATGTTGATTAGAAAGTGAGGGACCGGATAGTGGTCGCCCACTTTGCTCTAGTTTGCCGTGAGACGGTTGATGTAGAAACGATTTTAATTTATAAAAATTTAATTTAACGACCAAAAAAAAAAATAAATCATTTTTTCAACTTTTTAATAATATCCACATATTTTACAACTTTACAAATTAAAATCACAATATTATATTAAATTTGATTTGAAATTTATGTAATAAAATTAATTATAGAGTTATAATCCATCTACATAATAAAATCTGATAGATTATATACATTAAAAATTAAATATTACATTATACAAGCTTAAAAATCCCATCTTGGGTTCTGATAATTCTTATTCCAAGAATAACATCAGCCAAACCCATATCTTTCATGTCGAAATTTCTTTTCAACATTCTTTTTGTATTCGTGATCACTTCATGGCTACTCCCCATGATCAACATATCGTCTACATATAGACATA